GTTCTTTACTTTTAAATTTGATATATTATCCACAAAAGGTTTTCAAATAAGTTCCTTTGCAGCAGTTAATACATTGTTAATACACTGAATTAAGTTATGTTTCTATTACAGTATTACAGTTTAAACTTCACAAGATAAGGAAATATGATGCAAAAGAATGAATTATAAACAGTACAAATTCTGTAGTGCATCACAGATTAGATACAATTCCGGTAAACATGGTCTTTACAGGAATAAACAATCTAATTATCTGGGGTAAATTAGCACAATTATCCAGGAAACAAACACTTAAGGAGGAAATAATGTTTAGAGGTAAAATGGAAAAATCTATACTACATATTGACGGTTCAGTGAGAGGCATTTTCAGTTAATCTGCAACTTCTTTTATAACGTTTAAAAACAATCACTTCACTTGCAAAATGCATTTAGAATAATTAAAAACTTAAATCTTTTTGGTTGTACCAAATTTAGATGCAACCTTTTCCTTTCAAAAATGCTCAAATTATTCCTTTTATCGAAGAGATGTAATCTTACAAGACTAGGAAACTTTCGATGTAAAACTATTGAAATAAAACAGATATTTTAAAATGTATTTATGATGGGCATACGGTAAGATTCTGGGATATTTAGTCACTTACCTATAAATTACTAATTTACTTTGCTATTATAGTCCCAAACCTACTATGCCTCATTTGAATGGTTATTCATTATTCTCATGGGAATGTTTGGCCCGTATGCCTGGACAGGAAAGGGTAAATCACAAGAGAAAACTCATTATTTTAAAAACTGTCCCATAACTCTCCCACTTAAGCTACACAAGGGAATACCCCTCAGTAGTAGGTACTAATTGGTCGTTCATAAGACGTTTAAAAAAACAACACTGGAATCTCAACTCACACTTGGCAATTATTTTCGACTATTTAATAACAAAAGCAGAACTAATCATTTCTTGAGATGCACCCAATTTCTATCATACTCCCGATGCGTTTTATCCTGCTGTAGTATTCATTAGAAATTGTACAGGTTCTTAACTCCCATTTTCATTCCAGCACTAATAATGTGGGTTTCTCCCTTCTCAATCTTATAAAATAGAGATGCAATTAGTTATTTTGATTTGTGTCTTGCCAGGACTTAAGTGCATTGCCTTATACAGTGCAATCCGGTTGAAATGTAGGCGTTGAGATCCATAAGACCTCAATCCGCTATAATTAGGTGAGCAGGTTGGTGCTAAAAAAGGCAGAGAATGCGATCTGGCTGCTGACATCACTTCCTGCGTACTGCAGGAAATGACAATAACAGTGATTTTACTGTGTAGTGACGGCATTTGTTGTGAAATATTGCAGCCAATTTGTGTAGAGCAATGTCCCACAAACAGCCATGAAGTGAATAACCAATTTTATCTGGAGGATTGTCAGCCAGGACACCACTCCCTTCTCTTTTCGAACAGTGCCTGGACTGAGCTTGGTTGCGATACCTGCAAACCTTCAGGGTTTTAGGATCACCTAAAGTATGCCTCTTGAATGAGTTATCAGTGGGAACCATATATCAGTGAAAGATATATGTTGAAGAAAGTTTAAATCTCCACAGAACTGTTTTCAGAAGCAGAAGAAGGGGGCGGAAAAAATTGGAGAAGAAAAAAAAGTTTATGTGGAAGGAAATTTTAAGCTTTAAACCACTCCCTCCTGTAAATACTGTTCCATTTAAACACGACAAAGGAGGTTATTACAGATCAACAACCTGCTGTTCTCTTTTTCACTCACTTAGGCTGTTACACAAATATAGCAGTTAGAATACGTATTACTGTATCTGGTTGGGCCTCAGGGTAAGAATGAGAGATCAATTTAAATCTGATTCATCCCATGAAAGTGGCTACTTCTTTGATGTGGTCACTTTGATCTTTTTATTATATTATTTTGAAACTAATGTTGCTTAAGTGTACTTCTGTGGATTTTTAAACTTTCTTCACCATTAAAAAAAANGTTCCTCAACCAAAAATATTTATTCCTGCTTTGGAAATATATATTAATGGAATAATGTACTTCTAAGGCTAACCTGACCCCGAACTCTTGCCACCTAAATCCTCAACCGCATCAACCTTCAACTGCCCATCAGTTTCCAAGCAAATTGATTTCAACATCTTCACTCCTTAAATCCCTTCAAGCCCTAGAATCCCCTGATCTTCTCCTACTCCACTTCTCGGCTTGCCCATTCTGCTCAGCAATCTTACAGACTTTCAGTGCAAACCCACCCATTTCTATGCCACTTGGCTTTCAGAATCACCTAGCTTTCAGAATCTATACCCCTAACTTCTGGAACTCCCTCCCTCTTACCCCTCCCATGGTTAAATGTTGATCACCCACCTTAAAAACTTCTCCCTACCTATGGTCACCTATACTGCTCAGCATCCAACTTCAAATTGGTAAAACTCTACAAGACGTTACCCTTTGTGAAGGGTGCTACATGAATGCAAGTTATTGATGTGGTTTATCCTTTTTTTATTTTTCTGAAAAATACAAATATTTCTAAATTGTAAAAAGTTTGATATTTATTGATAATGATCAAGATATTGCTTTTTTTCAAATTAAATATGGGGGCCTATTCTCAAGGAAAAGATAATTCCTCACAGGAAGTATAAAGATTGCTCAATAACATTTGGACCAAGTTTTTTTTTCTCTGATGTAATAATCCTTGCCTTTAATATAGCAACTTATCATTGTCAAAAAAATCTCATAGGGCTTCACAGGATTTCACTGTGAAGTGAAATGACTATGTATTTGTAGGTGAATTAAGCAACTTGACAACAAAGGTGCACTTGTATAGAAACAGTATCCAACAATCTCTGTATTTTCTGTTTCTGTAGCCTTTAGCCACAAATTCTAGGTTGAAGACCTACATTGGCCTTAAGGGACATCTCTTACAATCAAAGTACCCTGTGAAGGAAGCTCGTTGAAAATCTGCAGCCAATAAACATTTGGGGGAATCTCTCCAAGTCATGTATGACAAACATTAACTATAAACACGTGTGCGCAGGTTGTGGAAACAGCATTCCCAACAGCTGCAGCTTTACTTTACTGCTGGCACCTTTGATTGCATACTATTTGCCACCAGGAAGGGTCAATAATCAAGTGCCTCTCTTACCTTACACTGACACTTGTACATATAAACCTGACTTCAATTATATTAAATTACACTGCTGCACTCAGCTTCAACCACTTATCCCTGGTGCATTGTGCAATTGTCAGGCGTGCCAACTTTGAAAATCCCGTTTCAGACACACTGCCAAAGCAGTCATTCTTTCTGTAACCACTATTGAAAAAGCTCCAGGTCATAAATGGGTAAAGATATCTCTGTCTCCCTTTCTGCATTATTTTCCACTGAGTTTGCCTCTGCCAAAAAGCAAACTGTAGTTTTGAGCAGTAATGCTTTATCATGATTGACTCCATCAGAATGAAACATCACTGGTTTGAGAGAAGAACAGTTAACAACTATCCTAGAAGTATAAGACTTGGAAACTCTTTACTTAACATCATAAAAAAAGGCTGTTTTCAAAACAATGTTTATATTTTCAAATACTGACATTACAGTAAAAAGCTATTTGCTTTGAGTGAAATAAAAGTGAAAATCGCTTGTTTACAGATAACAACCTAATTGTGAAAATCAATCAGCATTGTGCTCTTCCCCCTCCTACTGACATGCATTGTATTAGGAGCTGTTATTTCTGCATAGTAGCAGCATGAAGCTCATTGTGTAATGTTGTTCTTGTGTTTTTATTCGTACTCAGTGAAAAGGAGTTTACAAAATGGGCAGGAGATTCACTAAATAATCTGCAAACACGACAAAACAATCTGCAGTAAGAATGAGCCCTCCAGGCTGGTACTCCACGATGTGAAATGCTGTTCAATGAATACTGAAAGAGACTTGGAATGAATTAAAAAGGCAATGAAAAAACACAAATGTCAGCAGTGGGCTCTCCATCTGATGACAGGTGGACAAAAAGCTGGTAACTGATGGGATTAACCTTTGCCCTCAAATCCTTGTTTTTTAGTGAAAATGCAGCCTGAGGAAGAAAAGGGTTTATTGAGGCAGACCACAGCTACCTGCTGTAAGAGAAAAGGCAACATGATCAGCAGCTCCTTCCCACAGTGAAAAGATGTGAACAATCAATAACTGAAAAGATAATTTTTTAAAGATATATATGTTGTTGAAACATCTTGAAGTGCTTCACAGAATTATGTGCAGAGACTTTTTTTTGTAAGCAAATGCAGCAGCCAATATGTGTACAGACACCGGGAGAAACTCACTTCCACTTTATGTTAGTCTGCAAAACCATTTTGTTTCAAAATTTAAGATTCCATACAATTGTACAAAATTCTTCAATTTAGATTTAGTTTGGAAGCCGGATTTCTACAGTTCTTAAAAAGTAATGGCTTCCAAATTAGGATTGAATTTAAGAATTTTCCATAATTCTGCACGATCTTATATTTTAAGGCACTCAGGTCTTAAAGACTAAAACTAGGTGAAATTTCTGCCATAGATGTCAAATTCAAAGCACCTAATATGTGCTTCCAGGCAACATCTAATCAGTAGATTAAAAGGGAATGGCAGTAAGATTTATAATTCTGAAAATTTATGGTTACACATAACTGTAAACGTTTCTAAAAAAAATGCTATCTTATTGAGCCCATTATTTAACTGTTGATCACTGTCCTTGATATGTTTTGCTTGAGCCTTTTGGTCTTTTATACATTACTGTTTCTAATGTAATTTCGTTCCTATTAATGTTTTGCCCCCAGTTAGTGAGTCACCTTTCTCATCTGCCTGCTTTCTTTGGGAGAGTTGCACCAATGGAAATCTTTGTTAACAGTTTCAATCTTTGGATGGCTTCAAAAACAACCTCTGTGCCTTATGAAAATGCTGCTGTGGAGCCTAATCAGTAAATCTAGGTTTCCTTGTTGTGATTTCATTGTATGAGTGGACCTTCCCATGCAGTTTAAACTCACCTATTATTTCTTGAAGCAGTTGAGATAAACTTGGTTCATCGTTCATAGCCTGCACCAAGGCCTTCTTCACCTCGCTCTCTACTTTATCCAGCATGCTGTTGGACTTGAGCTCTCCAATTACAGAGTAGATGTAAACCAACAGAACCAGTATATCTTCAGGGCTGTAGTCAACATCACTTCTATCTCCATGGGATTTGATTTTAGGCAGTAGCTGGCTCAAAACTCGAGGCAAGTCGCGATCCCCAAGGGTCTGAGAAACAAAACAAGTTGAGAAGTTTTCAACTTTCCTAATGGATTGTAATAAGCAAATTAAAATATTCTTGAAGTTGGATCAACATTAATCTTCAATAAAAGTTCCCGCAATAATTCAAACCACTGATACGTTTAAAAAAATTCTTAAACATATTAACGCAATACTGGATCTGGATAACAGCTGTGAAGAGCAGTGAATCATAACTGTGTAAATTACAATTGAAAAACAAGAAAATGTATAAACAAGTTACTCCAGTATAGGTTATCAGGTTTGAATGGTGTTTCAATGTGCTTTTTCGGACATCTTTCCTCTCCTCATCCCCCTCAGCTTCCACCCCAGCTCGGGAGGCTACCCAGCAGTGTTAAGTACTTTAAGGCACTCCCCGCCGTCCCGCCCACCCCACCCCAACATGAAAACAGTAATATAAATGTAAATTATATTGTAAACATGTTCAGGACAAGGACAAAGGACAATATACAATTCACATTATAGTGACAAATATTACCAGGAGTGCAAATCCTAACATGACAAAACAAACCTCCATAATTAAAGTTTAGGCTTGTCATTTTGAATATGTGGAATGAGCTCTGGCTGCTGTTTAACTGTTTTCACAACCCTTTTACAAGTCTATTGTGGCTCTATTCTGATATATTATTCTTAATTGCATAAGGTTTTCCTCCTCCTCTTCCTCCTGAATGCTTGCCACAAATGTTTTTTTATTTAAAAAAAAGCACTTGACCTACTGTTTGAAAGGAAACACAGCACTATAAAATTAAGTAAGTTTCCATTGTAACTGGTCTCCCTTTTATGTGCTCAGCACTGCTAATGCAATGAGGTTGGCAATTAGGATGCCAGTGTAAAAGGAACTTCACGTTTACACAACTTTGATTCACAGATGAAAGTTACTTTACAAACAAGGTACATTAAAAATATTTTCATCTAGACTGTAACAAACATAAATTGACATTTGAAAATCAAGAATTTGATATATTAAATAAACATCTGCCAATCTAAGATTGGCAAAGTCAATAAAAAATTCTACAGGAAAAATACACAAATAAGTTTCCTACTGCAACTCACTTAAAGCTTAAGGAATCACCAGTATCCAGCCTGTTACTTTTACTCGCTGAATTCTTTACTCCATAAAGATGTGATCTCCTAGCTTTCAGCTTGGCAAAGTTTTGGTGAAAATAACGTTGTTAGGCAGATCCTAACAACAACAACAAGATTACATTTATATAGCGCCTTTCACGTCGGGAGAATGTCCCAAGGCGCTGGACAGTGTACAGCATTTCAGACCCAAGCTGGGGTCAGGTAGGGGAAGGGAGGTGAAGGGGGGTGGCCGATGGCATGGTCGAAGAGGAGGGTCTTGAGGCAGGACTTGAAGGAGGCTAAGGAGGGGTTGAGGCGGAGTGACTGTGGGATGGAATTCCAGAGGTTGGGGGCAGAATGGCTGAAGGCTCTCCCGCCAAGGTGGGGTGGGTGGGTTGGGGGACGTGGAGCAGGCCAGAGCCGGCTGAGCGGAGGGAGCGGGCGGGTTGGTAGGGGGTTAGGAGGTCGCAGATGTAGGGTGGGGTGAGGCCATGGAGGGCTTTGTAGATGAGGACCAGGATCTTGAACTGGATTCTCTGAAGGATAGGGAGCCAGTAGAGTCGGGTGAGAGTGAGGGAGATGGGGTCACGGAGTTTGGTGCGGGAGAGGACACGGGCTGCAGAGTTCTGGATTATCTGCAGCCTGTGGAGGGAGGAGTTGGGAAGGCTGACAAGCAGGGCACTTGCATAGTCGAGCCTGGAGGTAATGAAGGCATGAACAAGAGTTTCAGCGGCCTGAGGGGTGAGGTAGTGGCGGAGTCAGGTGATGTTACGGAGGTGAGAGAAGGCAGAGCAGGTCATGGCTTGAATGTGTAATAAGTTACAAACTGGCATTGATTTTGATGTTGAACTTTTACAGGGAATGTTATTTATAAAAGCATAGCGACATGGGCACTAAATGAAATTTACTAATCACAAAACCATTAAGCTTCACAGTAGCTGAAATCCACTATATTTTTTTTCCAGTTGCCTTGCATTCCTTTGACCCTCCAGTCAGATTGCAGCAGTTTGGAAGACATCATAGCTCCCTGGGAGTATATCTCAAGGTCAGCAGCTACACTAACCAGTATCCTGTCATTGCCTGAAACGTGCCTTTTGCTTTGAAAAGAGATTCTGCAATTATGGTCTATGTTTACACGGAATTGCTCTGGAGTCATTTTAACATTAAACAAGTCTTTAGGCCATATGTCAATCCCAATCTAGTCATGGTCATAGTCAGAAGTCAAAGAATTCTAGTTTCAGCAGAATGGATTTACGTATCTTTAATAATATTACATACATATACAACATATATACTTTAATTTGTTGGGCACACAATTTCAGTCTCTGAATATGTGGGTTCCTGAGGTTGTCAAGGAAGTACTGTAACTCTCCACAAGGTGTAAAAGTAAAAGTTTAAGCAGCACCATTAACAATTGCTGATAGTTTGTCCCAAAGGCTTTGTCAGCAAATCATAGAAATTTAAACACAGGAGAAGCCTTTGTGTTAGTATGGTTTATAGACAAGAGTGGCTCAGGATTGCTCAATCCGCAATGAGTATGAAATAATTCACCCTACGAGTTGAAAGTCTGTGTTTTTTGAAAACAAAACAAATTGTATTTTATCAATTCTGAAAGTTGTCTTATTTTCCCTTTTCATTGAATTCTGCATTGCTTACAATACCCTGATCTGTGCTGAGTATTTCAGTTGGGGAAGCAGCAAGGGCAATTATTGGCCTCTAAAACCATGGGCCAGACTTCCCACTCCTGACCTCAATCCAGTGTCCCTGTTGAAAACTGCACCTGCGTGTACACAAGTGAGTACAGGATACAACTCGACTTTGTTGCCCTCTCTCACTACAGCCAAAATATCTACTCAATCTCCAGTGTCAAAGTTAAATACGTTCAGAATCAGAATACTGCCAGTGGATGTGGAGTCACAGTCCAGCAACTCTAGGACAGCAACTGAGAAAACAAATAAAATATTTCTGAGCCAAGTCAGTGTTATTTTTTTAAAAATGATGCAATGAAAAACAAAAAGCAGTTATATCTGCTCAATAATGCAAAGGAAACGTTTTAAGAGCAACACACAATGATTATTGAATAAATTACAACATAAAGGAAATGTAAGAGTCGATAAACAAACCAGAAAAGCAGCAGTTCTGTTAGATTAGAAATGTTTATGATACTGTATTTGCCAGTGCCAGAAAGGCCATTTTTGAGATCACTTTTCTAGGGTTGCAGATGAATCTTCTTCAGTAGGAAAACAATGTTAGCGCTTAATTCATGAAGTTTTATTTATTAGCCCCCAGCCCTCCAAACAAACCTCTGTCTCCTCTTGTACCTATTGAAAGGCAGCTTCCCTGATTGTCCTATGAAAATAATTTATAGTAAGTATGACATTCATACTTAATAACTCTTGCATTTGATATAGAGCCTTATCACGATATTGAGACATCTCAAAGCGCTTCACAGAATATACTGAAAAGTGGATTAACTGTATTTTATGGGCGAAATGCGATTTCTATCAGATTTCCCAAAAGAAAAGGCTGCACTTTCACTTTGACACAGAGGGGTCTGCACAGATGTGTCTGGTTAAAAGTACTTGGAATAAACAATAAGAAGTGGAAGGAAAATATTTTTTCTGGAATTGGACCCAATTGAGAAGCCACACATCGTTCAACACATTTGGGATACAGAACGTCAGCAACAAATAGTTTGTTGTTGTTCTCCACTTCCAGGAATTTCAGAGCATTTTCTGTAAACTGAGGGGGGGGAAGAGACTTCAAAATTATGTTAATATATTATTTATCAATCAGACTCAAGTCTTACTTTGGTAATTTCTGTGTTCTGAGACACTGGGGAAGCACTCAAAGATGCTGCCCCACATAAAGGTTGATACAAATGCAAATTGTTGCTGTTCTGTCATTTAAAAGAAATCTACGATTGAGCAGGAAAATATAACAACAATGTTTTTTTATTCAAGAGGAGGATTATATCCTGTTCAAAAGTATAGAAAACCAAAGTTTAGACAAATCAAATTGATTTATGAATATTTTAAACAAAACCATAAAAGTGCCAGCTTGTTTATAGTGGAAATAATTAAAAGATATTCTTTGGTACACTGTGAAACGTGGTTATTTTCCTGGGTTCCGTTCACTCTTGCTAATCTTGGTTAAGAACAATTAGCTCTGAGCTGCTTCACAGTAGCTACATGTTATCAATGTAAATTTAAAACCTTTCATTGTTTTTTGATATATATTTATCAGCATAAATGATTTTCAAATAGTTTTCTTTGCTTTCAAAACATAAGTCATGATTTTTTTCCCAAAGTTTGGCAAGAAAGTTTCAAGAGTACAAACTCTTGGCTTGTTTATATTATTGTTGGAAAGAAAGCACCTTCCTCTGACAATGAGGGAAGTCCAAGCACAGAAGCTGTTTAACAGGCTGCTTAATTTCTACCTTATTTAACGTAGATTATTGATTAAATTGGATTTAAATTCTGCTTTAAAGAATTCTATGACTTATACATGACTTATACAGTTTGTCTTCAACTCAAACTCTGCACGAGTCATATTAAATGTTACGTTCCCGACTGATACGCCTTATGTGAGTTTTACTGTAGCGCCCTATTATGTTATCGAAACATCTTGAAATGCTTCAAAATGTTTTAAGGTAAAATACATGAGTGTGCAGTCAGTTTGTGCACAGCAATGACAGCCATGAAGTGAATTACCAATTTTAACTAAGCGATTGTTGACCACGACACTGGTTGAATCTCCCTTCTCTTTTCGAAAAGTGCCATATGATCTTTAAGATTCACATGAACAGGAAGACAGGACTTCGGTTTAACAACTCAACTGAAGGACATTCCTTCCAACGATGAAGCACTTCCACAGCATTGGATGTGAGTATCAGCCTAGATGAT